CGATTTGCGGCCCGAGTTTTACGTTATTTCCTGCCAGAATCAAAAAAGAATTTATAAAGGTATTATATTTTGAAAAGATACAATCACCAGCAATTTTTTCAGAGAACGTGAGCAAATCTCAACGCTGAATTTTCATAGAAGCTTCATTGAAACCTGATAAAATACATAAAAGGAAAAATAAATTCGCTGGTGATAATGATTGTAAAGCCTATTTCTGTGAACAAGAAGATCGTAATTGGTTCGTCGAATAACGTTAATTTTTCACCCAGCGGCTGAGTTGATTAAGCACGAGGTTACGTATTCTCTTCGGGCTTGCATCCCAGGTATATAGTATTCCTGAAGGAGTACTTCCTTCCGGTATGTGCTTGGTAAATTAAAATGTGAGTCCGACTTTAAAAAGTAATTGCTTAACTTGGCAGTAACGGGAGGCTAAATCCATTAAAAGAGGAATCTTTAAATACACATGACAATACTGTACAGTATTAAAATAAATAATATTATTTAATTTACACTTCATTGCACAATTTTTATTTTTAAATATTTTCTAGATAATTTCCCGACTGTGTTGTCGTCGGAGGTATTAAGTAACTTACGTAAATGGTATTGGTCCCCGAATGATTAAAAACTACTACCTATTTCTTTTAACAACTTTTTTTATGACCTTTACAGCAAATTCAAGAGAGATGTCTCTTAACCTATGTTGAAGATTATGTCCTTTAAATTCGTCTATGTTACTTTTATTCCCATAGCTTGTTCAATGTTATACCTAACAATACACAATACAGTGGTCTTATCGCTAAAAACAGATCAGGAAAGCTAATCAAAATAAAAACATACTTATTAGTTATTAGTATAGAGAAGTGCAACAATAACGTTACATCTTGAGATGGCGTTAAAAATCTGAAGTAAGATTGATCTATATCGCCCATATTTCTCAATCACTATTAATTAAATAGTGAATATACTACTGAGTAATACACCGTTTATCGGTTAATAGCACATGCTTTCAAACACCTATGAGGCTAGGTTTAGACTTAAACAAACAATATCATTAATCTTCCCCGAAACCGAAGCTTCCAGCTCCGCCCGACTGCAAATTTATCGAACCATTATCAAACTTTAGCTCGGGGATTAATAACAATTTTACCTAATTATAACTCGTGAATTTCTGTGAGGGAAATAAGATTTTGAATTTCATTTAAAGCCATTATCAGTAATGTACTTGACACATCTACACTATAATATTTGTAGCTGCAACGTTTGTTTGTTCTGTTGAACAGCCTAATCTCAGGAACTCCTGGTTTGATAAATTATTTTAGTGCTGGATAGTTATCAAGGAGGTCTTTGTAACTTCATACTACGACCAAATTAATATACGTTTTTAGGTTCTTTAATTGAGTCCTGTGGCATCAATAAAAATATTTATAATTGTCTTCTTATTTAAATTCGCAATAAAAACCAGGCATTTACGAAAGATACGGTGCAAATTTATGTATGTGTGCTTCATTGGTATCTTTTAATAGTAAACAGTAGGTAATTGTAACATCGAGAACCATCACATTATGTCAGATTTAAAACATGACGTGATTAATATACATATATCTTAGTTATTATATACACCAGTCAGACAATATAAATTTAATTTTGACGTCAACGTATTCTAACATACCGAATCCTTTTTAAACCAAAAATACTGAATACTCAATGCCCCAAGTAAATGGGCGCGTTCATAACGCTTAACCTTTCTGCGATCATGAGTTGTAAAAATAAATGATTTACTTACATCAACTATCAGAGGACAGCTATCAAAGCAGGTGTAATTAAAAATTCCTTGACGCTTCGGTGCTTATAAGAAAGTTTTAAAGTGAAACAAGTTGTCGCACTTGTTATAACTTCAGCCCGTATTAAATAGTTATTTCTTAAAACTCATTAATGAAGCTCAAAGCAATTTTATGCACGTACCAATTTAAGGCGCCAATCTATGATATAATCTGAGTTAACATCAAAGTATTATTTTTTATCCTTATATCAGCAGCTGTGGGTGCCAGCATGTAGCACCACAATGAATTAAAAAAACTATTTAATAATTTTCCTGGAAGTTACAGATCAGTTTTCCCGAGCTGAGCTGTAAAGACACTTAAGGCCAACAGTGAGATTCTATTCTAATAAAAAATGAGAGCACCGTGTAATGTTTTCAAAGGGAAGGTTATTAGATTGTTTAAAGGCTCAGTAAAGCTTCTATAGTTCGAGTATTTAGATTGAAAGTTCAGTATATAATATATTATGACATTATAAATGAATAATTTGTGTACCACTTTTATAAATTGGATAAATAAATCAGTTACAACCTCTTTAGGTCTTGGCCTCAGATTTCTGAATCTCTTTCATAATCATTAAAGGTTTCCTAGGTTTCCTCACGATGTTTTCCTTCACCGTTTGAGCAAATGTTAAATGCGCACATAGAAAGAAAGTTCATTGGTGCACAACCGGGGATCGAACCTACGACCTCAGGGATGAGAGTCGCACGCTGAAGCTACTAGGCCAACACTGCTCTTACTGTACTACTTTTATACCGAATTAAAAATGTATTTTTTTTTAATTCTTGTAATTTGACTTTTCTTCGATTCAACCGCTAGTCCTGCTTCCAAGCAGTCCCATTACTCTTTATACAGATTCTAGGGGCATCGTTTTTACCTTTCCTATTTAAAACCTTCTAAGAAAATCACCTAAAATACGCCGTTTAAAAAGGTAAATATTTCAGTAAAACTATTGAATTTTGTGTAAGCTAAGAATACATTGAATAAAACTCGCCTACCTATTCAAACTTGTCGACTAGACCAAGGTTGTAAACATATTTGAACACCCTGTTTTCGTTTTATTAACTGATGACAAATTGATAAGAAGTTTTAGTCAAAGAAATTCAAAAACAAGATGGCCGCCATACTCGGCAAAAATTGCTGTTGGTAGATACGATATAGAGACTGATATATTATTACTTGTTACTGATATATTGCAAGGCGTTTTATATTTAGTCGGGCAGGTCATTGCGTACCGAAATTAGTCTCCCGGTCTCCGCCTCCAACTTTCATATCACGAAAAAGTCTACGGCACGCCTAAACGGTGCAGATAGATGGAGAGTGCTCGAATAAACTCAGCGACTTAGGACGGTAATAGGCGGTAGTGTGGCGTTCCATTTTTGAATTTTTCGAATTTTGCCCAAAACACACACTGAATCGAGCTGAAACTTAATGTGTATGCATTGATTGTTACAATTTTTTTACAAATTTTGGTTATCATTTTTCATACAACCTCTAATTTGACGGCCCGAGGAAACGGTGATATGTCGAATAGTAGTGTGGGTGATGGGTGGAAACTGATCATAAGCTTGGGACGAAGTTGTATAAATAAATCAAGGTTGTTAGAACATTAAAACATGTTAATACAGGTTCGTTACTTCCATGAGTTCTTGATATGGCACTCTGCCAACATCTATTCCTGATAAAAAGGGGATTGATACGTACGCCTCAGTATTGACACTAATTCCTCCCTGTTTTAAATATATTCTTTATTGGCACGAAGCCAAATTAATAAGTCTCTTTTGAAGAAATCTATAGCATGCCTCCATCCATCTTCATTTGTAGCATTTCTAGAATCTTTGTGTTTGTACACACGCTCAAGGAAAGCATTTACTAAATTTACCATCACCGGAAAAATAAACCCCTTTGATAAATCGGCACTTGTTTGTATTTACGACTTGTATTATAATATTCACGCGACGTAGAATTCAATGGAAAGTTTCAAGTAAACTTGTCAGTAAGGTAATCATTGTCAGAGTGGTTGCCTGGAAGAGATCGCTAAAAAGCGATAAAGCCAGTTTCCCTCCTTTTCATTTAATTATGTTAATTTTTAAAATTTTATTTTAAATTTACTAACAGTAAATAAATAAATAATCTTCCTCAAATATATATTAGTTCCCAAGTAAACCTATTTTTGTTGATTCAATAAAGCTATATTGTGATTATTAGTTAGTGTTGTTTTATGTTCACCAATTGATTGTACTGGGTATTAAAAAAAATACTATCCTCACCGATCGATTTATGTAAAGTCTTTCATTTAAGAAGTTATCTCATCGTCATCTTCCTTATCGTCCATATTTTCTAATTCAAAGAGAAGAACAATAGCATTATTTATAAGGGCTTTACGCTTGATCTTAACAATTTCAAAGAATCCATAAAATTTAACCTATTTACCATATGAGACAAGCGTGAATCTAAATTTTTAATATAATTGTTTACCTAGTTTTATTAAATTCCGAAATGTAACGCAAAATAGTATATCCTTTCCGATTAAACTTTAAGCTCAATATTAGGGGTTTTCATGCAACGAGAAGGTATTTTTTTTCTTGATAAGAAACTGTTTGTGAGAAACAACAAACATCATCTTTAAAAAAAATATCCTAACACAGAGGCCTAGCTGCACATAACCATGACAAGAAATTCCAAGCTCCACTTTATCTTTTAATAAATATTCTAGAACTTCACCACTGTGTGATGAAAAGAAACAAATAGAAACAGTAGAGACTCCGTTGGTAATGTTAAAGCAAAACAACTAATACATAAGGAGAACAATCTAATAATACAAAACTTATTGACTTATAGTAATATATAATAAAAAGAAAAAAATACAGAGATACATAATAAAATTATTGTTCTTAACATTAAATATTTACAACTATTAAACAAATAGTCTACAACAATTCAATAACTGACATAAAACTTAACTAAATCTTAAAATTAACTTAAATCAATAATGCCTTTCAAAACATTATTATTTATAAACAAAATAAAAGTTATAGTTAGTTTCAATTCTCAAATTAACAAATATCTTAAATTATATATAAAATATTATCAAAAATATACTTTGAATTTATACATTTTCAAAAGTACCGACTCCCAATCCTAGCCTAAATACTTATACGAAATTAATTAGCCAAATCTCTCTTAAATCATCCAGCAATATGCTCTTTCGAAGGCTTTGAAACCAAAGTCGACATTTAGCGCAATAGTACAATCTAGATTTGAGCTTCCAAACATTGTCGGTTTTGCCGGTCCTGTAAAAAGAAAATTAAATAATTAAAAAAAAATATTAAAAATGGTCAGTGAATCCTATATCGTTCCTGTATTTTTTTAAACAATGTTACTATTTGACAAAATATCGAATTTATATTCTCCTCAATATTATATCAATGTAGATAAATATATATCAATTACCGTTTGTGCCCACTGCTTGCTACACGGCGGACAATACCAACTACCCGCCGGTACCGAAATTATGCCAACACACTCAAAGTGGTACCACTGCAGTTCACAATTCAGCGCATCACATCCGATCATGGGCGAATCGCTTTCTTTACCACAGAAACAATATGTCTCTGTGGTTTCAATTTGGCTCTCGTCAATCGGCAAAACGTGGCATATATGGGCGGCATACGCCCACCTTTTCAAGGAACATTTATTGCAGCAAATACTCTCTGTGCCGTGTCGCCAGTACAAATGTTCCAGTAACTGTTTATAATCATAATATATCATGGAACATCTACCACAGGGGTACACAACGTTGTTCAAATTATTGGACAGATCCATTGCAATCACAGTAAACACAATCAACTTGTAACGATAGTTGAAATGCAAATGAAGTAATTTTTAAAGGGATGGTAGATTTATACCTGGGTCCCCGTGCTAATTACGGGAATACTGAACAAATTAGTGATTCTTTCAATAAAGCGATAAGTGACCGCTACTTAAGTAAACACTTCAAAGAAACTTACAAACAATACAATTGACAACTGTTTATGTGGATTATAGATAGTTATTTTTAGAAAAACAATAACATTATTTTAGTACTTTTTTACGACATTTAATAAATTACATGGAAATAATTATTCAAGAAAAAAGTTTCCGCCTACTAAATACATATTAATAAAAGAACGTTGCTTATTAATTTATGAATATGTGTGTAGGTCTCATTGATGATCCGATATCCACACAATAACACCGTACATGCAAATTAAAATACGGGTTCGAAATTTGTCAATTATTTAAATAAATATATACTTTTTAAACTGTATAAATCATTCCAAGAGTAAAGCATAGGTATACAGGTACAAAAAGTTCACAAACAATTTCTATTAATAAAGCTAATTTAAATTAGATTTGTTTATTAGGTAACCATTTTATAGAGGATTAGACAATACTGCGAAAAAGTACCTGGATGCACAATTCTGGACGAATTGGGTATTAAAGTATCCATAAATTTAAGATAAGCCGATTAACATTTTGAAAGCATTTTTTATTAAACAAATACATTAAAACGTATAATCCGAAGCTAAAAAGACGTACGGAGTCTACGTAAATGAATCGCGTAGGCGCCACTGACAACGTTTTTCGTCTATAACTATATATAAACAATTTCAGAAGCTTCATACAATTTCTTCTTATTTGATATGTTGCTAGGCAAGCTCTTTCCAGCTTAAGTATTGCAAGTAGATTTATTAAAACTTTTACATCTAATAATGGAGCTTCCGGATAAACTACCCATGTACCTTATGGGTATTTCCGTGTACCTTGTATACGGACTTTTGGGTCAAACGCTATGTGGGATATGCTAGGCTAATATTAATTACGGATTGGTTTGTATATTCATATAGATCGTTGTTGTGAATAATACCACTTCTTCTTATAGGTATATAATTTTTAACTCATAAATGTTTCCTAGTGGTTCCGCGATTAAATCCTTTTCAAAAGTATTAGATTCTTTAGACGTCTTTAACGGATGTAAACGTACGTAGTATATTCGATATTTTCATTGGAATCAGGTAATGACTATTAGCTAATTACCTTTTTGTGAAACTTTGACACATTTAGAATTTTATATCGTCTAGATACGAAATACATAGTCATATTAGATTATTTATTTCAAAATGTAAATTAATTAATGTTTCAATATTGCTTCTGGGTTATTAGCATGTTTACCGCGCAATAGCGGAATGAATTTCATTAATGAGTTTTTGTACCACATGACCCCAGTATTGTTTATTGTTTGGTTCTTAATTGACATCATAAAAAAAATTATAGGAAATTTAAATTTCGTATTTAAATAAATCTAGTTTAGTTTAGATAACATCGTACTACGACTAAATTAAGAAATGTTTTAAGGTTGGATATATTGCAAATAAACAAAAATAATTTTAAAGAGAATTTATTAGATCTTCAATTTTGTCATTGCTGTCAAAAAAAATTGTCAATGTCTTTGATATTATTTAAAGTTATGTAACACATTACATGCTCAATCGTTGTAAAATCAGGGGACTTCCGAAAGATGGATTTTTATTAATTGTCTCTGCACTGAGATATTTATTAACATTAATATCTAGCCTTTCTTAACACTAATAAGTAATTGAAGTCTAACCTCATTTACTAAATAGGATATTTAACATAATAAAGTGTACACATTACTTACAGTGTCTATTAAGGGGAAGACACTCTGTTCTTGTGTACTGCCAGCATGTAGCGTCACGCTGTAACCTTAAAATAGCTAGGCAATGGTGTTACTACTAAACTACTAAATCACTTTCCTAGAAGTTACAGATCAGTACCATATAATGTTTTTAAAGGGGATAGATTTTTAGAGGTAAAGTTTCGAGGGAGTTTAATTAAATTATGTTTTGACATTTAGATGCTCAATTGATATAACTGATTGTACAATTATTTGTAATTTTATGTACCACTTTTATACCGAATAAAAGAATTATTAATATATATAAATCTCGTGTCACAATGTTTGTCCTCAATGGACTCCTAAACTACCGAACCGATATCAATCAAATTTGCACACCATGTGCAGTTCGATCCAACTTGAGAGATAGGATAGGATAGTTTAAATCTCAAATTATAGTCGCAATTTTAATTTATTGCAAAATATTTGTTTATTATTTGATACAATCTAACAGATGGCGCTGTGTTAAAATTATCAACGTTTCACATAAGCTGTCATCCCTTTACATAAGTTCTCCTACCGTTTCCCTTGAATAGTTTAATACTATGTAATATAACAAAAATCTTAGCCAGAGCAACGCTTGGCCGAGTCTACTTATTATATAAAATAATATATATATAAAGAAAGTGTACTTTTTTCTTTAACTGCTGTCCTAGCTGTTCTAGGGTCTGTCATGTTATCATTTTTGCGTTTACAATTTTTTAAACCTTTAGGAGGTTGTTGCAAATCTCATAAACTACGCCAGTTAAAAACGTAAATATTTTAGTAAAACTCTATTGATTATTCTTTAACCTAAAAATACATTGAATATAACTAACCGACCTATTTAAACTTGCGGACTAGACTACCAAGGTTGTAAGCATATTTTAACACTCCAATAAGGTAAACTTTAAGCATATTAATAATATACTATAATACTATAGAATCTCTGCAAATCCGCAGATTTTTAATATAATTTTTCTTATAATAAAGTTCACAAAAAAAAAGTGCGTCATTACATGAATTACATTCTAGCCTGTACAATAATTATGGCTAATAAGTAATATTATGTTGATTTAATTTTCTACAATACTAGTGAATAGCTTAAACTAAGGTAATGTTCATTCTTAGTGATCTATAATGTGTGTCTCCGAAGTTTCACCCTCCAGGTAGCGCTCATTCCATATTTCTAACGTCTTTTGCCTTATCTGGCGTTTAATATATATTAATAATAAAACTGACGTATACGGCATATTTCAGTTTTGTTCTTAGTTTTTCCGCCGCTTCTTTTGCTAACGTGTCCGCCCTCTCGTTCCCTTGAGTAACAACGTGCGCCTTTACGCAGAAGAGACTTAAATGAGTTCCTCTTTTGCGGTTCTCTTCCAGGCCCCGGCGGATCTCGGCTACCTGGGGATCGAGAGATCGTCCACTCACAATAGCATCTAATGCTGACCTAGAGTCACTGAATATTTTAGCGTCACGCTTATTTTTATTTATGTCGCGTTTTGTAGTGCCGTCTATTCGGCTTGACAAACTGTGCAGTGGGGCGTCATCTTCATCTTCTATTTATTTACATTCCATCTTTCCATTGCGTCCAAGCGGCGTCCGTATAGATTTGTGTGCCGCCGTGTCTTTCGATTTCTTTATAGTTCAGTTTCGTTTGTTTCGCCGGGTGTGGGAGATCTATGTACTGGTAATGCACTCTCCTCTGTAATTCTTCGGTATTTCCGCGATGAACCCCCTTCTTATCTCCTATAAGGCAGCGGCTTCTTGAATACGGAGGTTTAGAGGAAGTATCCCGGCCAGTAGGGTTGCTGCGTGTAACGATGTCATCCTATAAGTTTTTGCAATTTTTTGGAGAAAGACCGTTTGCACATGATTTAGTTTTTTGCGTACACAGATTTATTTGTCGTGGGAGCCCACACCGCGGCCGCATATATTACGATTGGTTCAATAACGGCAGTGTACACGGTCGCCATAACTTGCTGGTTTAGTCTCCATTCGATCTTCGCGGCTTTGGCCAGCTGCTTATATACCTGAATGGCCTTTCGGCATACCCACATGTCTGCTGAATGTGAGTCTAGCATCCAGATCAACTCCGATAATTCGTATGTGGTTATCAATCTGTATCGGTACATTATTCATATTTAGCCGTGGGGTGTCATACTTCAGTTTGCGCGTCACCACCATGGCTTTGGTCTTGTGTGGCGCAAACTTCAGTTTGTTTAGAATACCCCATCTATGTATCCGGTTCAATGTTAGGTTAAGGTTCTGCTGGATCTCACTACCGGTCTCTCCTTCCGCTATCAAATCGACGTCATCCGCATAACCCTGGATGTACTCACCACCATTTCGCAAGTCCTGTAGGAGCGGGTCCAATAGTAGGTTCCACATTGTTGGTCCCCCTATTGAACCCTGAACGCAGCCTTTGTGAGATACTTTTTCACCCGTGTGTGTTCAGACAGGTCTATTGTGTTCTTTTAACTTTAATCTATGAACTTGTCACATATGGTGGTGGTATCATGATGACTTCTGCTATTTTACATAATCGATATCTTAGCCTTATCGAAGCGTTAATGATATTTATTAATTTTACACTTCCCTTTCTAGGCACATACCTAAAGACAGGTCCTGTTATTAATTCATAACCCAAAAGATTTTTTCGGATCCAAGTTTTCGTGGATATCAGTTTTTGGTTCACGAGATGTTTTTAACAATTTTATCTCCATCACATCTTGTTTGCTGTTATTCCAACTCTCGCTCAGGTAGTTTGCTTCATTGGTAAGGTGTTATATAGATGTTGAGCAAAAATTTCCGCTTTCTCTTTGCTAATTCTTGCCCGCTGACTTTCGCTACTTTTCAGAGAAAATGCTTGGACAATTGGTGTTTTCTATGGCTTCGTAGCTTTCCACGGTGAGTGCTGTTTATTTTTGTCACTTGAAATATATTGAGAGAAGTTTTTCATTGTCTTACCACAATACGCTTTTATATCTCTATTTGCTTTATTTTTTAAGTTGTTAAGTATCCTTTTATTTTCAGGACATTACGATTCGTGCCACTTACTCTTTTGTTATATTTTTTCTTGTATTAGGCACATTATTTCTGAAGGATAGAATTTATTTGACAACCTTCTTTGTTATATTTGGTGAGTTGTTCCAAACTATCGACTATACTATATTAGATATAAGTTTTTTAGTTTCTCTGTCTATATCTTTATTTGCCGTTATATACTCTTAGATAAATGTTATTATCTAAATCAATTTGAATGCCCTTCACTCGGATTTCTTGTTATAAAAAAGAATGATTAATTTCCTTTTTTAGGATCTACTCTCTTGCAAATAATTTGAAATCCAAAATTAGAGTACTAAAACTGTAAATTTTCAAGTGCCCACTTTCAGAGATATCAAAATTGTAATACGAAATTAATTTGCCAAGCTCTCTCATAAATTATTGAGCAATTTGCTCGCTCGGAGGCATTGATACAAAAGTTCACATCCAGCGCAATAGTATAATGTAGATTTGACCTTGCCAACATTAATGTCGGTTTTGCTGCTCCTGTAAATAGAAAGTTAAGTTCTTATGGGCAAGGAGTTATTGTTGATATAAATGCTATTATTTTCATATTGATAGTTTAATAAAATTAAAAACAAGCATACAAATATATAATATAGAAATAATCAAAAAATTTTATAAAAATTGCTCCCTGATTAATTAATTAGAAAAGATAAAACATGACTTACATTTATATGTTTGTAGAAACCTTATTATCTTCAATTTTTTTGCTTGGTTTTCTGAAAATAAAAAAATATGTTACACAAGTTGATTAACTGACTTATAAAAGAAGAGTGAATTGTTTCACGCTTGAGTAGAACTGATAGATCTTGACACAAAGATAAAGGAATTTTTTAAAAATTGATCACTGAATCAGTGAAATAAAAAAATCAATGAAAGTGAAATTTACGTTTTTGATACAATGTTCAAATTTGATGTAACATCGAATCTATATGAATCTCAACCGTATATCAATGTAGATGAATCAATTACCTTCAGCGCCCATCGTTTGCTACACGGTGGGCAATACCAACTGCCCGCCGGTGCCGATACTACGCCAACACACTCAAAATGATACCACTGTAGTTCACATTTTGCCGCATCACAACCAATCATGGGCGAATCATTTTCTTTACCACAGAAACAATATGTCTCTGTAGCTTCAATTAGGCTCTCATCAATTGGTAACACGTGACATATATGGACGGCATACGCCCACCGTTTCAAGCAACAGCTATTACACCAAGTACTCTCTGTGCCGTGCCGCCAGTACAAATGTTCTAGTAACTGTTTATAATCATAATAAGACATGGAACATCCACCACAGGTGTACACTACCTTGTTTGACTTTGACTGATCCATTTCACAGTAAATACAATCAGATTGTAACGAAATTGTAATGCAAATGAAATAATTTTTAAAGGGATAGTTTATTTATACTTGGGTCCCGAGTGCTAATTACGTGAAAACAGAACAATTTAGTAATCCTTTCAGTACAACGATTAGTGATCGCTACTTAAGTAATTACTTCAAAGGAACTTACAAACAGTACTATTAACAAATGTTTATCTTAGAATTAGAGATAGTGAAAATATTTTTAAAAAACCAATACAAAAAAATTTTCAGGAATTTATACGAGATTTAATCAATCTAACAGAAAAGTGTGGGCCTATAAAATACATATATAATATATAAATAAAATAAAATAACACCGTACGAGCAAAAGGGGTCGACATTTTCATTTAAATAAATAAATATATACTTTTTAATACATATAAATTAACCCAAGAGTAAAGCATATGTACGTAGTTACCCGAAGGGGGTATATGACCCTATAGGGCCTAAACACTCCTCTAGCGAGAGAGGGTGCAGCTGATGCCGAATGGACGGTCTAATCCTTGAACAAGGTTGTGTACACCTAAAGTACATGTTCCATGATCTATTATGAATCAAGCAATTACTAGAACATTTGTACTGGCGGCGCGGCACAGCGAGTACTTGCTGCAATAAATGTTGCTTGTAACAATTGGCATATGCCGTCAATATATGTCATGTGTTGCTGATTGACGATAGTCAAATTGAAACCACAGAGACATATTGTTTCTGTGTTAAAGAAAGTGATTCGACCATGATTGGTCATGATTCGGCGAATTGTGAACTTCAGTGATGTACCATTTTAAGTGTGTAGGCATAGTATCGGCATCGGCGGGTAGTTGGTATTGCCCGCCGTGTAGCAAGCAATAGACTCAAGTAATTGATTCATCATACATTTACATTGATACATGGTTGGGATTATTATAGATTCGATGTTTAATCAAATTGGAACATTGTATCAGAAACATAAAATTCACCGGTTCCAAGACGGTGTGTAGTAGATAACTAATTCATTGATCAATTTTGATAAAATTCCCTTTTCTTTGTGTCAAAATTTATAATCAGTTAGCGCATTGGTCACAGCGCAGAATCTAGTAGAAATCTAGTAGAAGGTCTGAAAAGATCTATAAGATTCAAATTAAGATTTCTATTCTAGTTTATAAATAAATTTTTTGTATAAAACCTTTTAAATATATTCGTAATCTTGCTTTTAATTTATTAAACTCTTAATATGAAAATATTAACTTAAGGCATATTAACTTAATGCTCACAGGAGCAGCAAAACCGACGTTAATGTTTGGAAGCTCAAATCTACATTATACTATTGCGCTGAATGTGGACTTTCGTATCAAAGCCTTCGAGCGAGCAAATTGCTCAATGATTTATGAGAGAACTTGGCAAATTAATTTCGTATTAAAATTTTGGTATTTCTGATAGTGGGCACTTGACAATTTATAGTTTAAGGACTCTCATTTTAGATTTAAAAACAAGGTTTTCAAGAATCTTTGGAGATATTTAAATCTATATATAAATATAAATGTTATGTTGATTTGTGTACGCTTTAAAAACTCAAAAAGTTCTGCACCGATCAAGCTGAAATTTTGATGGAGGATTGTCGTTATCAATTTTTTTTATTTTTTTTTTGTTTTATTTTTATTTAATTTCTTTTTCCACAAGTATTGCAAAATTAAACTTATATGAAATGTATTATTTGTATTGTATCTCATTTCTCAACCATTTAATCACAATGTGCCACAGCAAAGCGTGGCTGGGTACAGGTAGTTCATAGTATATTTTTGATTGTTTTAATATTTGTAAATTAAATAATTCTTATCTTAATATACCTATATAAATTACGTGTCACGTTGTTTGTCTGCTAAAAGTCCTAAACTACTGAACCGATATCAATCAAATTTGCACACCGTGTGTAGTTTTACTACAATAAAAGTTACATCTCAATTTATACCCGCAATATTATTTTATTGCAAAATATTTGTTTATTATTTAATAGTCACAATTCTAACAGATGGCGCTGTATTTAAAGTACCAACGTTTCACATAAGCTACAATTTAATGGCATAACCACCAAGCTTTTTTGGTGGTTATGCCATGCTTAGGGGCTAATCACGTGAAAACACAACAATTTAGTAAGTAATCCTTTCAGTAAAGCGATTAGTGACCGTTTCTTAAGTAATTACTTCACAGAAACTTACAAACTGTACTGTTAACAAATGTTTATCTTAGAATTATGGATAGTGAAAATATTTTAAGAGATTTAATAAATGTTAGGAGTTATTGTAACAGAAAAGTATCGGCCTGTAAAATACATATTAATAAAAAAACGTTGCTTATTAATTTATACACAATATAGGTATATGTGTGTGTAGGTTTCATTTATAATTTTTCTTTAAATATTTAGACTCGATTTTTGTATGATACGCCGATTTCCACATTGTACGAGCAAATGGGTTCGAAATTTTTCAATCAAATAAATATATATATTATATACTTTTGAAACTATATAAAGTAAACCAAGAGTAAAGCATAGGTATACATACAGTTACAAAAAGTTTACAGACCAATCTAATAGCATTAATCAAACTTAATAGGTACTTTAACCGAACCTAGTAATAGGAACCTAAATAAATTTGCTTTGTCTAGTTTAGAAGATTGTTAAAATATTTTATAGAGAATTAGACAATGCTGCGAATAAAACGTGGATACACAATTCTGGACGAATTGGGTATAAAAGTATTCACATGATAAGATAAGCCGATTAATATTTTTAAACCATTTTTCATTAAACAAATACATTAAAACTTATAATCCGAATCTAAAAGACGTATTAGCATTGCTTTCATTAGATATCTTGTGAAACAGGTTTGAGATGCAAAGGTACTAAGATGCAAAGGTACTAAGATGCAAAGGTACTAAGATGCCATTACGTTTGTAAAGGTTTTCCAGAGTGTTGATAAGATACTTTGAATAGAAGCTCTAGTTACCGTAGTCTACGGAAAAGAATCGCGAAGGATGCTTTTCGTTCGACTGACAACGCTTTTCGTCTTTAACTACACCTGAAACCTACTTTCTGAAGCTGTATACTATTTTTTCTATTATGATATATGTGAGTCAACTATTACAGAGCCTGTATTGCGAGTTAATAGTATAATATTGCAGTTTACGGACCAATTGGGTTTTTTTTATAGAACAGGGGGCAAACGGGCAGTAGGCTCACCTGATGTTAAGTGATACCGCCGCCCATGGACACTCAGAATGCCAGAGGGCTCGCGAGTGCGTTGCCGGCCTTTTAAGAATTGGTACGCTCTTTTCTTGAAGGATCCAAAGTCGAATTGGTTCGGAAATACTTCAGTGGGCAGCTGGTTCCACAAAAACTGCCTTGAACAACGCTCAGTTGTGGAATGGCGGACGTCGAGGTGATACGGGTGGAATTTCGTATTCTGCTTCGACGTCCGATGATGAAACTTAGCTTCAGGTATTAATCCGAACAACTCCTCTGAACACTCTCCATGGTAAATGAAAGATGCAGAGTGACCCCACATCTCTACGCAACGCCAAAGGATCAAGCCGCTCGGAGAGGGATCGGTCGTCGACGATTCGAACCACTCTTCGTTGAATACGGTCATGTGGAAGGAGCTGGTACTGGGGAACCCCCGCCCAAAGGTGAGAACAGTACTCAATTGGGTACTTTAATGTATGTAATTTGTTTGGCTGGACAATTTAATAGGACAGGATAATTTTATTTACGGATTGTTTTGTACCCTAATATAGTTTGTTTCTGTTAATACTACCACTTCTAGTAGTTAGGGATATAATATCGACAATACTCGGTATAGTTAAAAAAAAATCTTAGCGGTGCCGCGTTTAAATGAAAATTAAATATTATATTATATATATAAAAATCTTTAGCGAATGTTAACGTGTATCTACTATTTTATTCACATAATTAGACATTTTGAGTGCTTTTCAGCAAGCATAGTGAGAGAAAGACTAAATCAGTTGAAGAACTTTTATGTACTTGTGTTATATATTAGATAGGTGTTTTATAATCAGATGTGAATGTTTCAGTATATTTTTAAATCTTCTAATTACTTAATTAATCCACTAATTACCTAATAAGAATTAATTTACAAACGATTAGTAATGAGTATTTGTTAATTACCTTTCTAAGACTGTGGCATATTTAGTATTTCATTTTATATATAATGTGATATGATTTTTATTTAGCAAAGTATGTAAGTAAATTAATGATTCATTACCTTCTTCTTCTACGTTAGTAGCATGTTTACCGCGAATAGCAAATTGGATTTCATTATTGAGTTTTCGTACCAAATAAACCCAAACATATTAAAATTGTGTTTTGTTTTTAATTTCAATTAAAGAAATATATTCAAATTCGGATTTGGGACTTTCCTTTTTGTGAAGGTTAGACAATCAAGGCAAGATAGGAACTATAGGTCAATACCTATGAAAATATTATATTTTCCAAAGAATAAATCAATTTTTTCATAGTAACTGTTCATTTTATATAAAGCCCGCCGGTAGGTACACTTTCCTTTTTATAGATGAATTCACAATATCTACGCTGGCAATATCCGGCAAGCTAATGCGTGACGCGGAAGTGATAGGGAAACGTTTTTGAAATATTTCCAACGAAAAAAACAAAGCTGAAAATTTAATACTATTCTGTTATCAAGAAACATCAAAGTTATAAGCATTCCCAGTTATGTTCAGAAATCTTATAACGTTGTTTTAATTTCTTAGGTTATGTAGAACTAAAACTGGTCTGTCTCTTGGTCATGTATGCGTAAGCACAATTTTAACGAAGGAGACAAATAAGCTTTACAATTAATAGTATGTTATTTAGCTTTGCTTTTGAACAAATGCAATTAGGGGATAGATGAGGTCATCAGCTGCAAAAAATTGTTCTACGCGAGGTCCCTAAGCTCAACCCCTGCAGAGTTATAATT